ATGACATATCTATTGCAGGTCTTATCAATCTTTCATCCTTTTGTAGGAAGTGAACAAAACTCACAGCCGAGTTTGCATCAAGGACAGCGTGGGATACAATGGCCAGAGAAACGATGTAATTGTGAACTATCTGGTTATCGGAGGTAACTATGGAACCAGTTTCCTTCTTTGTAGAACATGTTCTTTTCAGAACTACCCTCGTCCAGACGATCATCCTAAACGAACTAATGTTAATGGGCAGAATGCAGAGAGCTGTTCCCGCATTACCACTCTGTATTAACTAATCTCTTAACTAATCTCTTCACGTACGTCAGGAAACCAAACATTAGTTTTGTCCATCTCTCGCTTAATCTATTGAGCATTCTTTTGTAGTATACAGAATGTTTCTACAAGGCAACATTGATCAGTTTAGGTTTTTCCTTAATTAACATCTCTTACCTGGCAACAAGACTGAAAACACATGCCGGTCTCTTCTGCCTTCATCCAATAGGTCTATAGCGTCTTGAAAAAGTTAAAAAAAAAAAGCAACAAAGCGACAGAAGCAAAATAAATTGTGCATCCATTCATCTGTATACCTATTTCTTTTAGCCAATCCTTCCGTAATCAATCAAACCGTAATCCCATTAGCTAACCATTTTATTTACTATTTTTAGACCTTGATCCTTGCAGAGATATTATCTGCACATATCACAGTTACTGCAAAGCGTATACTCCTACCCAATTTAAATGCATTTGTGAAGAACATTGCCCGTCATACGAAGAACAGGTCTGTGCCTCCAACGGTCGCACTTTTGGCAACCTCTGCTTGCTACAGAAAGACATATGTACACGACGTGCAAACTACACGAAGTACCATCCTGGGAGCTGCACAGGTAATGGGAACTGTCCTCTCCTGTAGTAGCTCATCTAGTTCATGGACAGTTTTTGCAACAATTTTATAGTATAAGAATTGTGAAACGCTATTGTCTACATGAGCTATTTTTTCATACAAATTAAAGTCAGACAGTGGGAAGAACTGCCGGTTTTCATGTGACGTAGTCATATTCCAAAATTATCTTCTGAGGGTTCAGTTTCATCAGATATAAGACCCTCTAAGAACTTAGCGTTTCAAAACGTTTTAGCTTGACAGGGTCCTTCGTTTTCTAATAGAGCACGTTTGAATTTCCAAGCTTTTGTGTTGTGTGGCGGCCGGAGAAGACTGTCACCTGGGTCAATCTGAAAGATCAGTTATTGCTAAAGTTTCTGTTAACTGAACAGTTCGAACAGTTCTTGCACGAGAAGAAGTATTAATTTCAATGTGCCAGAACTTAAGAGTAAAAACTTCGTTTCAACAGCAAAATTCAATGACAGATGTTTTTGTTACTTTACGGCCGCCATTTTGGTGTCCATCTGGTTAGGCACCGACATAAATTTGCGTGAAACGCTTCTCCGAATAACATGCGAATGAAACACCACACAGACCTAAATCCTGCGAGGTTGTTTATATATCAATCAAATATCATATATCAGATTCTTGACTTAATTTAGTTAATGGTTGCTAGTTTTATTTTTGATGGCACGACAATGAAAACCAGCCCTAAAGATAGAAGAGCTGACCGGTGAAAAAGACGGACGCGAATTATAAATTAAATGTACACGAAGAAGTAGTTACTTTCTGTTGCTGTTTTTTTTTCCCTCGTAGGTTTTCCAGTTCAGAGAGGAAGGCACGAATTCAAAAACACTCCCTCCTGGGCACAAGATCAGTGTGAAGTTATCAAATTTGAACCGTTAATTTTTTATCCTCTGAAGATGATCTATGTGCAGCTCTCTGTGAATCATTTTAATTACTCTGATGCGAGTTTCGTGCACGAGGCCACCACACCTTGGGTTGAAAGTGTTAACAGCACTCAGTTTACAGCCTGTGTTACTCGAGCCGGCAGGAATGACTATCCAACAGATAGCTTTGCCACAATTGACTGGGTCGCCTACCAAGGTGCACCTCCTGGAGGAATAGCAGGGGAAGAAACGTTTTCTAGATGGTGGACTGGGACTAGTTGTCAAACAGTCACCTTTCCAAAGGTAACTGATCTGTTTTGGTTGTTACCTTACTGAAATATATTGCAATCATTTAAACGTAGCATTTCCTAATCTTAAGTGATTTCCCCGTCGAACAAGCCAGATTGCATGTCACTATAAAACTAGTATTCTTATTTTGTTTTGTTTCCTTTTTCTTAGGGGAAGTTTTCCAAGTCACCGACGGTATTTGCGACCGCTGAACACTACCGGTCTAGTCTAATGCACGATGCTGCCAGTGTGTGGCTCGAAGATGTCTCAGCGAGTTCCTTTAAGATCTGTCTTCGGGAACTACAAAACTTTGCTGGAGTTCATGACGACATCTCAGTGGTGTGTATTATTAAATTTAACGTAACGCATTGTCATCTAATCTAACACCTTAACTTAGTCTCACACTCACTCACTTATCCTCTTCGCTCCTGTGAGGGGAGCATAAGGCTACAACTTGGTCTAGTCTGGTCTATCAGTCAGTCAGTCAGTTAGCGAGTACGTCAGTCGGTCAGTCAGTCAGAAAGAAAGACAGTCACTCAGTCAGTCAGTCAGCTAGTCAGTGAGTCAGACAGACAGTCAGTCGGTCAGACAGCTAGTCAGTTAGTCAGTCCGTCAGCCAATGACTCATTTAGCCATTCAGACCGTCAGCGAATTTTTAAAATGTAAGAAGAATGTAATTACCTAGAGTTCTATTTCTTAGCCACTTTTCTCGGTTACTGAATATTAGACGATGACAAGACAATCATCTGTATTTCTTTTTAAAATATGCGAGCTGTTACACCATGTGGTAGTCGTATGCAAATTATATTGTTGCTG